TGTGAACGTGTGGATTTGTATCCAGCTCATTATTCGAGAATAGTTAGAAACTGGCTGGACGAAAATTATCCAGAAAGATGGATCGGCCGTGGAGGACCAGTCGCCTGGCCTCCACGATCCCCTGACCTAATTCCATTAGATTTCTTTGTGTGGAGATTTCTAAAAGAAGAAGTGTACCAGACTCCCGTAACCACAAGAGATATGCTAATAGACAGAATCAGGAATGCATGTGATGATATAAGGCCTTATTTGAATAATGCTATACCACGTTCGATCATTCGTAGATGTGAATTGTGTATTGAACAATTGGGTTTACATTTCGAGCAACTACTTTAGATTTTGTATGTTTGTCCTAACTATCCAATAGCATTTTAGTTGTAAATAATTAATTTAATTTGTTAAAAATAATATTGGAAAATTAAACAAATTAATATTCTGTTTTTTTGTGTTTATTTGGAGTTAGGAATTATTGCTGTGTTTGAGTACACAATCTAAACGATCATCTTAATTACTTGTAATGCCCAAATCGAAAATGTAAAAAAACATATTATTTTCCCATAAATAATTAAAAATGCATCGAACCTTAAAAATCGAAATATCTCAAAAACGGCTAACTATAACGAAAATTCCCAGGAGAGCTTTTTTATGTTGAAAAGTGCGAAGAATCAGTTTTTTTATTCAAAAAGCAAAAAATTGCACTAAGAAAAAATTTTCTGTCATTTTAATACACTACAGGTACAGTAGAGAGCGCCCTCTAGCGGATACAGTAAAACTAAGCCCATGGTTCGTTTTGTCGTACCAAAAAGCCCTTGTATACAAATTTTCACTGTTATACATCAAATATGGTTCGAAATATTTAAAAAAAAACTATTTTAGAAAGTAAATTTAAACACCCTGTATTTCAGAAGCCACGCCTTTTTCGACCCATGTTTATATAGACTTCATGCATTAATTTTAAAAGTTCTATCGAATCTTAAAGTTATGCAACAATAAATTGAAACACGCTGTACATAATTTGGGCTTACAAATGAAGACAGCTAGATAATTATTGCACCTTTGCTAGGCTTCACTTCACCCCGCATGACACAGACTTCGCCATAGAGACGCAGCCTGTATTGCACTATGCACTTCGCTCTCGGCGAATACGTGCGGCTACTTTCATCTTGGGTCTCAAAATGTAGAACCAAAATAGAATAGGACGTAAATGTGTTGTCGCTATTACGCTTGCCATTTTTTAATTAAGCCAATGAAATCAATTCCATCTATCGTGCACTTGCATGGGATGGAGCTCAATTAGCTTCTATTATCCGCTTCGTATAATCTGATACAATTTTCTAGAGTAAACAGTATGTTCGATTTTTCTCGATAATCCGGCTCAAAATTAACCACAGTAGCTATAATGATGATATAACCCAGTCAAATGTGAGCATTCTATACTGAATCGTGTGCATTTACAGTAGCAGTGTAGAACTTCTCATTCGGGTATTTTCCAAAATTTCTATGTCGAAGGATTATCAATATCGTGCTTTCAAAGAAAATGTTCCGAGTGTTTTCTTCCTTTCATATGAACAAGAAGTAGCAAAACTTTTCATCGAAAGTTAAAGCGTATTTCGCGCCAAAACTATGACCTCATAAGTCCCAGGCTTCAATGGCACGACTATACAACCAGAATCGTCAGTCATCTAGCGGTCACATGGTTACTACGGTTATAAAACGCGAACTGATAATGTTTACAGTTCCAAAAAATATCAGCTATGCGCTCTCTGCGGTGGCCAATTCTGGTTTATAGATGGCACTTTGCGCTGTCTTTTTTCAATCCTTTGTTGTTGATGATATAATAATAATAATAATAATAATAATAATAATAATAATAGCTTTATTGTCCAACAGTTTCCCATTTATAGGACAATTTATAAACATAATACAAAAGCAAAAAAAAGCGAAAAAAAAGCGAAAAGAAAACAACAAATGTAACACAGGTATAAATTTGTAACATGAGCTATTGGTCCGAATAAGCCTTAGCTGCCTTTAGCAGGTAATTAACATTTGTCGTAAACATATTACAGTAACATCCAATTCTGTTTAAGTTAGAGCACATTACATATAACGGTGACTTGAGAAGAATGTTTGTCCTAGCTCTAGGAAGCCCGCATATTTTATGATTGCGAGATGCAAACGTTGGAGTACGAAACTTGATCTGTTCCAGGATCATGGGGCAATCAATTAAATTGTTGATCATTTTGTAGCCAAATATTACTGAGGCACAGTACCTACGTTTTTTCAAAGTTAACATGTCTAAGCGACTACATAGTTCCTCATTACTTGTACCTCTCTATGGATATGTCCCATCAATCCTGAACAGAACAAACTTCATAAACTTCCGTTGTACTCTTTCAATAGCTGTGCTATAGCATTCATAGTAAGGGCTCCAAATAATACTACAATATTCGACTTTGGATCTAACATAAGCTTAATATAATAGCTTAATAGACTTTATGTTATGAAAATTCCTGCAATTCCTTACTATGAAACCATAAGCCGCCAATGCTTCTGATGCTTTTTTATTTATATGCTGACTAAAAGTCAACTTTTGATCAAAGATTATACCTACTCTAATTTTATTAGCAAATTTCCACGAAATAATTGTAAAGTCTGGTTTTATTAGTGCAAGTTGTTCAAGATAGTATTTAAAACACGGACGCATGAAATGGGTACACTAATTTTTGAGGAGAAACTTTTTACTTGACAACAAAGAATGAAAAAACGTGTTTTTTGGGATTCAATCGAAAGTGTTAACAGGAACGAAAACATCTTTTATATAAGATTTTTAGGTACTTATGAGACCTTCAAAATAAGACCACATGTGAAGAGATCCGACTAATAGCAAAAAAGTTATGGCCGAAAAACGAGGCAAAATGCAGGCTTTGGCACATGTTGGTAATGCGACGACAATTTCAGGCAACTACTTGAAATTCTTCAAATCTCTTCGATTCATACTTCTAAATAACAACAACAAAATTGGATTATATTGGTCAAATAGTTTTTTGAGAATTTCTCATTGTTTATCCCAAAACACCTCTTTTCTGGCCATCACTACTAGTTTATTGAACAATATAAAGGACGTTTAATAGCAAAATACACGTTTTTACCTTGCCGATATGAATCACAAACCATTCCGAAATATAAATGTTATGTTTGTGCGGAAAACAAAGGTTACGTTTTTTTCTTCTAAACAAATTCAAAAATTTCGTATTGGTGAGTAAATGAACAAATGCACTACGATACTCGAAAAACATACATTACTATACACATTTTAAAGCAAAGCGGATGTGTTCATCATCTTTTGAGCGAATTACTCATAAATATGAAACGTTTGAATTTGTTTAGAAGCAAAACCCATCGTTTTTTGCACAAAAATAACATATATTGTCCGGAATGGTTTACTATTCATACCAGCAAGGTAAACTAGTGTATTTTGCTATAAAATACTTTTTGAACTAACCCTGTATATTGCTCAATAACCTAGTAGAGATGGCTCGAGAACAGGTGTTTTAGGATAAACAATTAGAAATTCTCAAAAACTACTTGACCAATCTGCTCCAACTTTGTTGTGGTTATTTAGAAGTACGAATCCTACGAATTTTTTGAATTTCAAATATCTGCGAGGAACCATCGTCGCATTACCAACAAGTGCCAAAACCAGCAGGTTACCTCGGTTTTCGGCTATACCTTTTTTGCCATTAGTCGGATCTTTTTACGTGTAGTCTCATTTTGTAGGTCTCATAAATACCTTGTATAAAAAGTTTTTTCGTTCCTGCCAACACTTGAATAGGTACCTTTACATTTACACTCTTTCCTGCGGGATTGGAACGCCCCGTTCCAATCACGCGAATTCTCGCGCGTCCAAGCGTGGCGCGTCCTAATACGAACTGTCTTAAAAATTACAACTGCTTATCGCACGGTTTGAGTGTGTGTCGTGGAACGGTATAGGATAAAAGTGCAAATGTAAATCAAAAACTGTCATCTTTCGCGAGTGATATTCGTGGCATGTGGAGTCTTGAAATTTTCAACAGTTTTCAAGGCGGTTTTTATCTTCATAATGGATAAAATAATTAAGAAACGGAAAATAAGAGCAGCTTTGTGCTTGGCTGTGTATCTAAATATTCCAAATAAGAGACAAAGAAAGTGTTGGGTGAAAACATGGTTGGAAAATCGCAACAGATATGGACATTTGCCTCTGCTTCATGAGTTGCGTGATAATTATCCCATGGATTTTAGAAACTATTTGAGAATGGATTCTGAATCATTTAGAATTTTGTTGGATTTGGTTTCTCCAATGATTTCTAAACAAGACACAAGATTGCGGGAGAGCATAAGTGCCGAAGAAAGACTAACAACTACTTTGAGATACTTAGCTACAGGTCGTTCGCTTGAAGATTTGAAATTTTCAAGTGGAATATCTGCACCATCTTTATGTAAAATTATACCTGAGACATGTAAAGCTATATATGAAGTATTAAGGAAAACATATTTAAAGGTAAGATTACTTGTTTTATTGAAATAAACTTCTTGTGATAACAAAACTTGAATATAAACTAAAAAATTAATTACTAAAATCCTGACTAGCTTACTCATAGTAAGCTGTTATACTTGCTGAATCTAAAGCATGTAATTGAGATGTTCTTTCTGGACGATGTAATGAAGAATTTGATGAAGCAACACTATATGGGCTAGGCGGTGAGAAAAGTGGAAGTGGAACTGGTGATTGTTGCATAATTATCGTTGTCTCGGTTAATTGGTTTAATAATCCTTTATTTACAACTTGATTGATAAGCATATCTGCATAAATAGCCTGAGTTGGATTCATCTTTTTAATTTTTTTCGCCCACGAAATTGCGGCTGCATCAAATTCATCAATTTCATTTTTGCTTTCAAGCTGATTCTTGCAGTAATTCATGAAGTCTGTTTGGGTCTTATTTTGTTTAGAAGTCTTACTTCTTTTATTTGAGGCAGGCTTGAAGGCAGTTGGACTTGTTGGACGTGCATGAGATGTTGAAGGCACTTGTGATGAAACACTTGCAGATTTCTAAAAAAAAAATATTATTTTAGTTTCCATCTACGCAGCAGGATTGGCTGGAAGTAGCAAATGGATTTGAACAAAAATGGCAATTTATAAACTGTGGAGGAGCTCTGGATGGCAAGCATATTCGTATTGTACCTCCTCCTCATTCAGGAGCACAATACTATAACTATAAAAATTTTTATAGTATCATTTTAATGGCTCTCGTCAATGCTGACTACGAATTTATTTTTGTCGATGTAGGCAAAAATGGAAGATTATCTGATGGAGGAGTAATTGAAAGCACCAAATTTTATCATAAGTTAATTCATGGTAAGTTGTTATACTTGTTTATATGTAATTATGAATAATATAATTTTGTGGTTTTAGGCCAGTTACATCTGCCAAATAACACAGACACAGAAAATAATTTCAATTTTGTATTTTTGGGCGATGAAGCATTTTCTTTACATGAAAACTTTTTAAAACCGTATCCTCAAAGAGATCTTTCTTATAGTAAAAGAATTTTTAACTATAGACTATCACGAGCGAGAAATGTTTCGGAAAATGCATTTGGCCTGATAGCGGCAAGGTTTAGAATTCTGCATACACCAATACATATGAAGAACCCGGAAAACATCTGTTACGTTGTACTTGCTATTTGTTCTCTTCACAATTTTCTTAGGAAGCGTGATACTTCTTATACAACATCAACATCATTTGATCAAGAAAATCTGATAACTAAAGAGTTACAGGTGGGTGATTGGAGAAAAAATGCCGTTAATATGACAAAATTAGAAAGTCGTAACAAAAAAGTAGCTACCATAGCTGCGAAAACTAATCGAGATAATTATAAAGTTATTTCAATTCAGATGGAAAAGTTGATTGGCAGGATGAAATGTTGGCCAAAGGAAAAGCTTAATGTATATTTTTGTTTTTAATAAATAAGTACCTAAAAAACTTACTTGTGTATTATTTACTTCTGTTTTCTCTTGAAATTCAACTTCTTCTTCAGTAGAGTGGTTGGAATTTTCTGTTCCTTCATCTTCCATGTTACAAATGCTTTGCGTGGGTATTTCCTGATCAATAGTAAACTGGAGTAAGTCGAAATACCATAATGTGGGAGTATAAATTTCATCTGTACTAGCTCCACTTCGCTTGGATTCCTCTATCTTTTTTAATTCCTTCCGAAAAGAACCGCGAAAACTTTGTATTTTCTTCACAACATAATCTCGATTTGCTTCTGGATGTAATTTTGTACAAAACTCGACTAATTTGTCGTAAACAGCATTTTTCAAATTTCTGTTTGTATATTCTCGGGATTTGATTTTCCATAAGCATGGATAAGATTTATATATTTCAATAAACTCTGAAACAACTTCTTTCGACCAATATCGTGTATCTGCCATATTATCTACCTAACAATTAAAATAATTGAAACTTTGTATATGTATATACAATAAAATACTTATCCACGCTAGAACACAATTTACGCACAATTGCCCGCGCGAAAGTAAAATGTAATCAAACGTCTTACCTGCACGAAAATCACTAGCGACGAAAATGCGAGTTTGAACACGTCTAAAAACCGAGCGATTATTTTTGATTTACACTGGCATGCTTTCGCACACGATTGGAACGGGGCGTTCCAGTCCCGCAGGAAAGAGTGTAAATGTAAAGGTACCTAATCTCATAAAACACGTTTTCTCATTATTTGTTGTCGAATGAAAAGTTATTCCACAAAAATCGGGGTACATATTCTATGCGTCCGTGTTTTGGATACCCCTTGAACAACTTGCAGCAATAAAACCAGACTTTACAATTATTTCGCAAACCAGGGGTATTTTCGTCTAATATGATTAGACTAATAGGTACAAACATTTTTTTACTATTTCATGTAGAATTAATTGAATAATTGAAAATTATATTCACATATCTTTGATAGATTTACATCAAACTGCACTCCGTAAAGGTCTGCTGTCTACGCAATGCTATCATCAGGTTTAGAGGAATTATGTTCGACTAAAGTTTGTCCATTTGACAAACATGTATGTCATAACAAAAAAAATTAAATGGGCCAAGTCAGCCAAACAGGCCCATATACTATTAGTACGTACTCCAGAGTACCCATCCATTTAATAACTCTAACGCTATTCTCTTCCCTGCCCTGAGTATCGACCATCTGCTGAACCACACCAGTCAAACACGTCATAAGGAGTAGCCACGATTCTATAACATCCCAGCTGATGATGCTGTCAGACTCAGGGGTATAAACGACGCCATTGCATCGCATCATCCCGACTGACTGCGTGTAGCCTCTATAAATATTTCTCCCAGTTATGAGAACACATGTACGGGAAAATCTTTGATGTCTGAAATATAGTATGTACTGATAGGTGCGTAAAGTTTCTTAGGTTGGCCAACAAAATGAGATATACCTTCTCCCACCCTCCACAACCCTCAAGCCCTGATTTTCAAACTCTACAAATTTTTTCGGAAACATCAAAAAACAAAGTTTGAGCGATTTATTAGTTTCGTGTTTTTGCCCCTAACTCCGCTGCCACTGGTCTAATTTTCAAAACCTATAAACCTCTTCGATCCTTGAGATGGTCGTAACCTTGTGTGGAAGTTTCATCCCAGCAATACTTTCCAAGTTATAGGGTGTTCAGAGCGGACAAACCTAAGGGCAAACAGACCGACGGAAATGAGTGACTTGCTTTTTCGTTATGTACATGTCATATAACACCAAAACAAAACGTACAAACGTATTATTGTATTTTTAAAATCAATTTTGTCTAGTTAGATGACACCCCTTTCCTCTTGCTCCAAAATAACTGAGCTAAACAGGATTTAGCGAGCAGTTTTACAGCAGTATGTATTTTTATCATGCGTTTGTATGAGTATGAAAGGGCAACTTGACAGGATCGTTTGATATGCTAATCTTATTAAAAATCACACAGGCTCTGCCACGCTGAGCCTCTGCCGCAACCTTCAACGTTTCCCCCTATATTGCACGGATTAAAATGGCGATGCTTTGATGGCATAGAAACAGGGTCGCCCCTAGTATATTTCAAGATCCACTATAGGTACTGTATCAGACCAGGAAGTTGTTATGAATGTAGCGTAATATTTTGCTGTACATCTTCAACAAAACGAGGTACACAGGCGTTTTGATGACGGCATTTCATGTACAGTCAAGCGGGTTAGAATAAATTTACAAAAGATCAATTTTTGGAGTACAGGGTGTCCGCAAAATTGGGGTTTTCCTTTACACGACGTGTAGATCTTGAAAACATAAGCAATTTTTCTTAGTACCATATACACCACTGTCTTAAGGGAACCGAGATAAAGGGCTCTGAAACATCAAAAATATCTTAATCCTGTCCTGTAGCCGCGACATCACCGACTGGTACAAAGTCACTGGCTCAACCCGACGACAGAACTGGGTCGGGGTCAGTGTGTCAGGTCAGTATGCAACCTTCAACCGACGGTTACGGTCACGCGTGTAGAGGTAATCGCGTAGACGAGAATCCCTCAACAAGCACTAGAAACGTGGCTAGAGAAGTGCAAGTACCAAAAACTAAAGTCTGGCAAACGCTGCGTGAAGAGGGGCTGTATCCGTTTCACGTCCAACGTGTACAAGCCCTTCAACCTGACGATTTTCCAGCAAGAGTGCGGTTTTGTGAGTGGTTGTTGCATCAACATGACAATAATCCGGACTTTTTGAAGTGCATATTGGTGACAGACGAATCTATGTTCACGCGTAATGGGGTGAATAACTTTCGCAACACTCATGTTTGGCCAGTAGAAAATCCACACGCTGTCCGTCGGGCACATTTTCAACAAACATTTTCGGTGAATGTTTGGGCTGGCGTGGTGAATGGTATGCTCATTGGACCATTTATTCTCCCAAATCGATTGGACGGGATGCAATACCTAGACTTTTTACGCAACATTTTGCCTTCCTTGTTACAAGATGTGCCATTAAGTGTAAGACAATCAATGTGGTTTCTGCGTCTGCTCGGTAGCGCATCAGCTGATTTCATTTTCTGTTGGAGCGGTATGATTTCGGGCAGAGACGTACTTAGCCCTTCTCGTCAACTGGAGAGTGCATTTTTCCTTATTTTTTTTTACTTGGTCGCCCTCGTTTCACTACACATTACCTTTATTATTTCAAGGGTAGTTGTTTCTGAAAAGGAAAACCCCAACTTTGCGGACACCCTGCATACACAAAGAAGATAGGGTTAATTTTTTCTGTTTCAACTAAATTTATAATAGCAATTGTTGCTTTTCAATTGATTGCAACACAAAGACGAAATACAAAAATTATAATTTTGACACTTATCGCAAGAATTATACTAGAGCGGAACTTCTTACTGCTACATGTCGTGCTGGATAGGGTTCTAGTGTGACACGGTGTCTGACGGGCGCGAAGTGTATAGTGGGGAACTGATGCGGTATTTCATATCTTGTGACCTTACTTAATGTTGGTTAACCTACTTGACGTTATATTTCATATGCAAGGTCAATCTACTTGACAAAGTTTTGAACATTTTCATAATTATTTTTGATCCTGTTTTGGTAAAAATATGTCAATATGAGGCAGCGAAAAGCAGGGTGGCACAAGATATGGAGTATGCAGTGAACTTACTTGATGCTGTCATACAGCATCAATCTAGTTGACGACGTTTTTGAGTATTTTCATAGTTATTTTTGCATCATGTCAACTCGCTTGATGCTGTATTTCGTATGTAATGAACTTACTTGATGCTGGTCAACCTTTTTGACGTTATATTTCATATGCAGAGTCCATCTACTTGACATAGTGGTCAAGATCGTTTCTATTTATACGAAGTTAACCTACTTGACACATATTGTTAAAGACTACATAACATTTTCATAATAATTTTTAAATCTATGACGGTCTCTAGAAACAACAGTTAATGGTGTATACATACAATTGAATATAGTCAACGCCAAACAAAGTGGCGTGCACGTCATCACGATAAAAATTCCCCGACCTAATGCCTAGGTTTCTATCACAAACAATTGCTCTATTGCAGTTTCATATTAATGTGATATATAAATTGTAAAATGGTCATTACTCTCTTATTATGGTTAATAGTCATATAAACATTGTTATTAAAATATCACATAAGTTGCTTTCTGATAAATTTAGACGCATTATGCGAAATAAAATGTTTTGCAAACGCTCCAATCACTTATCGACATGTAAACGCACTAAACCGATTTCGCAGCGTTGACACATTGTCACCTTGAAACTTATTTAAACTGGTAACTGACATTTGTATTAATTTTGACACTGAATCAATTTGTGGCATTTCAAATCTTTATAAATCCTTTGGCCTCGCATACTGTAAATCAACAACTGTTTGTTTCAAAACAAAATTATTCATTTTACGAGTAGATAAAGGCAATTTTGGTATATAAAGATGCCCAAACAGTTAAATAGTCGGTGTAAGGAACTCGTGGCCTCGTTAATGCACTACTTTGAGCAAGAAAGGGACAACAACGGGCCTTTGTTGCCTTTAAATGCTGTTCAAGAGGTAGGTTACTAATAATTATATGTTATGTATATTAATAATAGTGAAATTTTATTTCATTTTTTGTAGCGTGTTGCTGCTGCTTTAAAAATTAGTTTAAGGACAGTTAGTCATATTTCCGAGGGTGTGAAAAGTGATGCAAATTTAGAATCGCCCAAGAAAAAGCGGAGTTATATTAAACGTGTAACCAACACAGCGACATTGGATACAAGTGCCATTCGAGAAGTGATCTATAATATGTATCACAAAAGTAAGATCTTATTCTAATAACTTATCAGAAATTTGCATTAATTTGTTAACTAAATTATAATGTCATATTACACATGGTTTCAGAAGAACAAGTTACGATACAAACTTTAAGATTAAGAGATAGGGCATTATTTGATGGTAGTGCCACGTCTTTAAGGCGGTTGCTTAGAGATCTTGGATTTAAGTGGCTTAAGGACAATCCACGACGAGGGCTCATGGAACTACCAAGTATAGCTTTGAAAAGGGTGGAATTTCTAAGGCAATACAATCAAGCCAAGGTTGAGGCCTTATACCAGTTTGTCTTCCTCGATGAAACTTGGATATTTCAAAATGGGACCATAGGTCGCTCTTGGCAAAATGGAAACCAAAAAAGCGTGAAAGCTATTAAAACAGATGGTAAAAGGTATGTACTTTTACACAATTTGCACTATAAAATTTAAAACTAATATATTTTAGATACATTATATTACATGCTGGAAATGAAAATGGGTTTATTGAGGGTAGTGAAGCGATATTTTCTTCGAAAACAAAATTGAGCGATTACCATGGAGAGATGAACCAGGACAATTTTTTAAAATGGTTTCAACATCAGTTATTAGAAAAATTGGAGAGTCCATCTATGATTATACTGGATAACGCCCCTTATCACAGCATGATATTGAACAAAGTGCCCAACAATGCATGGACAAAAAAAAATATCCAAGACTGGTTGATAAATCAAAACATACCATTTTTAAACACAATGTTTAAAACAGAGCTATTGAGTATTGTTGCTCGGTACATAATGCTTCTTAATTATATATATTTTGGTCGACAGTTTATATTTCTTTTGTTTATTCCTATTCTTAAAATAACTGCTTTTTTAGAAACAAACCACCTAAAATATACGTGATTGATGAATTGGCGGAACAACATGGGCACAAAGTTCTTCGTCTGCCTCCTTACCATTGTATATTTAACACTATTGAGTTAATTTGGGGCATAGCAAAAGGTTACTATAACAGACATATTGGTAGAGATGGTAACAGTGAAAAAGACTGTTTGGATATGTGGAACGAGGCTCTACAAACGGTTACCCCAGACATGTGGAAAAATAGTTCGACATACTGAGCAAGAAATTTTTAAATGGTATGAAAGAGAACGAATTTTTGATCGACCAGACATCGAACCTTTAATAATCAACTTTGAGAGTGATGAAGATTCAGATTCAGACAGCGCTGAAGAAAGAAACTCCGACTAACTTTATTGTACAGAAAAAGCTTACACCAGTAGCTTACCTAATTTTAGAATGCATTTTTCTGTATGAATTCTGTAAAATAAATACTATGCATAAAATTTGGAGGACCCCATTTGGATTTTTATTCAGTACCTTTAAGCTATCAATTAAATATGGTAGTTTCATAGTGTCATCTGATCAATAATTGTCACTTAATGATTATGCAAGTACAGATCTATAATTTTATTATACTATTATTTTTGTTCACATTTGAGGTTAATATTGCTTATAAACCTAGATATGTAAATAATAAATTTTATTATTTTACAAAAAGTTTGGCAACAATGTAAATTTTTCAACACACCCACCTTGATGACGTGCACGCCACTTTGTTTGGCGTTGACTATAGTTAAATAGTTTTACAAGGCTCAGATGTGTTGACGTTTGGAAGAGCTTTAAAGGTAGTCTGGTAACGAATTAGAGAAATGCAGAGGCTTTTATACAAAATCACATATTGCAGATTACACGTATACTAAAAAGTACACAAGGCATCAAGACAGCAAATTTCTAATAATATGTATATGCGCTTTCAATTTTTTTAGCATATTATGCTATATATGCAGTATATTCTCGAAACAGAAACACGGCTGGGTATAACTTTTGTTATCTCCAATGCGAGATTTTGAACATAAGACGTAACAACTTTTTTTGGTCGACTTTTGAACAAAAAGGGAAATATAGGTGAGGACTCTATGGTGAAATCTGTGTCATGCGGTGTCAACTCAGCCCTGACGAAGGTGCAAATATTTAGTTGTCATCATCAAGAGATGATTTCAAATTGTAATTTTGTAATTTTCATTGATATTTACACGCACAAGTATATCAATCCGCTAGATAATGGTGCACCCTGCGAACAGTGGGCGAAGACCTTTACCGGGGTTCCTACAATCACGAGCACCATCTGCTGAGGTAACGGGGAGATGAAAAGGAAACGAGGGTGGGTTGGGTCTAGACGGTTGTCGGTGCTACTTTAAAAGAGGAAAGGATGACTGCGGGTGCTTACCAAGGTAAATTTTTATAATAACAGAGTCAGATTTCGATTAACGATCTAGAACTAAATCGTTTCTTTTTTTGGTACCCAGCAAGTGATCATTTATTATTTTTCCACCTTGTTACTGTTCGTCGATATTGTGTTGGTGAATTGTTGTTGATGTGATTGTTCTTGAGTGCCTTTTTTTATCAAGGCTGATAATGGACAATAAAGGGTCATATGCGACCATTTTAATTACGAATGCAGTGAGTTTAATTCATGATGAGGTCAACAATAGGGTGGAGCAAAATACATTGGGGTAAGCGAATAAATTATTGCAAGGAGAGGTCATACCATGGAAGATGTGCTGCAGCTGTAGTGAGCCACAATACCCAGCGGCCAGTATATGTGGTCTAAACACATTTGCTTTCTAAGCTTAGTCCAACCTCGCTTATCGCTGAGATGGAACAAAAACTCAAACGCAAGAATCTTGAAAAGAAACTCAGACCAAAAGAAGCTGATATAAAAATAACTAACAATTCGGATAGCAATTCCAAAGAAAATAAATAGTTTTATGGCGAATTCAATCAAAAACCTGACATTAACCACATTGATTTGGAGGTTGCTAAGCGAAAATTTTTAGGGAAACTTATAAAAAGTGACGACGAGATTTTGCAGATCGAACAAGTCACCAAATCACAGGACTGTACTTTGTCGCGCCTTCATCGGAGGATAAGGTTGACAGCGTCTCCATTTTGGTGAGGTTTGTAGAAGAAGGCAGACAACAAGCTGTAAAGTTCTAGTAAACTCCATCATAAACCCAACAGAGTTTCCTAGTAACGCAATAAAAAAGGCAATACAAAAATCATTGGACACCGCGATTCAGTCTTGTGTTTTGTTTATTGATCGCACACATCCATTTCTGGCAGCATCGCCTCCATCTACCTATTACAGTAGACAAGAAATGCACTTAATCCAGGTATAAGCCTGCCTGTTTATCGCTTTGCAAAAACTACCTAACTGTTTCCTCTTATTTTGACGGCATAAGATATTTTTATGACTCTCATTCAATTGTTATTATGTACCACATGACCCTTGTAAACATAATTGTGTTTACTGACATGAATAAACGAATTGTAATTTGAGTTCTTGAATTTATTTTAGAAAAGATATCAAATTATTTGAATACATTTTTTCTTAGTCGGAACGCACCGTCGCGTCGCTTGGACTGGCAGGACGAAACAGAAGACGAATTTCGCCCAAAAACCGATTTGCACTTCACAGCTCGCGTTTCATTTTTTATTATTTCCAAATGAAACTCTTGCAGCGTGCTAAAAAGTGCACAGGGTGCTAACGATCCACTTTTTCGATTTTATCCACTAGGATCTTTTTAAACTATCAAGAAGTTGAGCACAAATTCGATAGTAAGCATTTCAACCCACCATAATTCTTGCGCAAAGACAAAATTTTGTAAAACGCTCTGATAGCACCTTAGGCAATTATGTCCTGCTTATATCCAGAAAAACATCACAAACTGTAGAACACAAATTGAACGTAACGGCGAAATGGGTACATTTCACGGCTCATGAAATTCAAATGAAAATGCAGGTATAAAATCTACCAAATTATCGTTCTCAAAAACATATTTCCTTGACATATCGATAATTTTAAAGTTCCACGCTAAATTCCCCTATACTTGGCTGATGATATCCGAATTCATTCTTCCCTACTGTCGGCAGTTCCAGATACCGATTTTTTCAAATCGTGAGCACATTATTCGTCGGATTTTCGTTACTTAAATTTCTTGTAATCACTGGGATCAGAAGCTTCTTAATAATAGAACGTGTTTCATTGATATCAAAGATGCAACATTCAGAATCACCTTCCCCCAACCCCCACTTTTTAAGCAGTACAATTTTTTTCTGTCAATGATAAGGAACCCCTGTAATGTCAAACACGAAGCTTCAGCAATTGTTACTTTATCTTTTTTGCCACTGGACTAAAACTACAAAGCTTTGACATACTAGTAACCCCGTGTGGAAATTTGATAAAAATCCGAGCGGTTATTTCCAAATTGATGAGTGATACAGTTTTTCGTGATGTAGATGTCATGTGACTTAAAAAACATAACATCTCATTTTAGAATTTTTTCGCGATTACAATCATTCCTCGCCAATGACGTGGGAAGTAAAACGGCTTTAAAATCGAGGAGTATCAGCGATGGCGATTATGAGTACCTATTTTCAGAACGACTTATCTACGCGATATTATATGAAATATGGCCACCAAATTATCTGAACACGTCCTTTCTTAGTCCGTACATTGCGCCGCAACGCTTGGGTTGGCAGCACGAAAAAGTAGACAAAATTCGTCCAAAATACGATTTGTAGTGGTTTGCGCGCTTCGAAATTGACGCTTTATTTTTTGATATTTTTGGATGAAATTTTCACAGAGTGTTGAAAACAAAACCCCACAGGGTGGTATAGAGCCACTTTTTAATTTTTTTCACTAGGTCCTCTTTAAAAAAATCGCGAAGTTGAACAGAAATAGTACGCACTTCAACCCATCATAAAACTTGTGCAAAAACAAAATTTAAAAAAGTGCTCCAATAACACCCTGGGTAATTATCTTCTCAACATACTGTATGAATTTCATTCAAAAATATTGAAAAATGGAGTGTCAGTTTTGAAGCAGCTGAACCCTTGTAAATGGCTTGAAACTCACTGCGTCGGAGCGAATTAAGGTTCTTGTCTACAGTTTCGCATCGGACTTTTCCCATAAACAGTAGTAACAAATTGAGCATATCTGGCACAATATTTTATTTTATACAAAAACAGTAATATAAGTATCATAGAACTGAACTACCATGAAATTGTGCTCAGATATCAATAGGCTACTGTTTTGAAAAAACGTAGCTTACTGTGTAGGACTCGAAACAGCAGGTCTTCTGTGATTAAGTTCTTCTCTGGATAAAGTACCGTTCGAAAACTCTCCACCTAGAAAAAGGAAATATTGTAATATTTTATTTATTTAGAGGTCCCATCTGAAATAAAGTCGGGACAAAATAAAACAATTTCTGAAAAATTCATTTTTTTTGTCTATCAGTAACCTGAATGCGTAACGTTGCTCCCATCTCCCGAGTAACTTCATGTCTCCTACCGTTTCAAAGAGCACTATGGTGAGAGCCGAATGTTAAACACAATTTTGACACCAAGATGTGATTAAGGAAATATGACCGACAAGAAATGTTGCACTTAGCTGCAACTCTTATGCTTAAAAATACACGTAAATCTGACACATTAAGTTAAACGGCTAACCATTAACATTTCTCCTCTATCCAGGATATAACGTCTATCGAAATAAGTCAGCCCTCTATTATCAGACTCGACCACTGCAAGAGTGAAACAACAGGTTGTCTGTTGGAACTGTACACCAGTTCGAATTTGATAGCCAGCTCACCACTATGGCCGCTAGATGCCACCGATTCTGGTGGTGTAGAAGATACGGTCTAAGGGCTATTGAACCAAGCAGTAATAAGTTACGATATTAGACGAAAACAGATTAGTAGTACCGAAGTAACACATGTGAAAGATTCAATAATGGTGTGAAAATTAACGTTAGTCTTCTTGATGATATCGAAACTGCATTATTACCATGAATATTGTCGCAATATTATACGATTATCTTATAACTAAAAGCATGCCGTTGTGTAAAAAACAAAACACCAGGTTATAAATCTGTATTCTGTACCACAGTATTACTACCCAAAAAGGCAACCTCGAAGTACTATAAAATAATAGGTAGAGGCGTATTAAAGAAATGATATTGTTGTCCATGTGATATCTAAATCGTCAATTCTATAGGAAGAAATAAATGTTTGCGATTTGCGCTCAAGTGCTTTTTAGCCGCTCAAGTGTCATCGATATTTTGGAAAAACCTACATAATGTCATGAAAATCGATATAATGGCACTTTTTGTGTTATGCAATGCGGGTGCGGTTATCAATTACGCTGCCACTGACTCATTTTATATAGAAATACCTGATAGGATACGTCAACAACACAGCTCTTGGGCTTCACTCTAGAGATTTCATAGGTAAACAGTACAGTAGCCGTGGCCTGTGGCACGGGATAGCACTTCGTCGGAATGCTGAAGACTGCTTCGTACATAAGAAAGTCGCTGACTGAGTTGCTCATTCCTGCGATCAGGTTCAAGGAGTACTCCCAGTTTTCAGTGACGTCAGCAGTGAGGTCAATGTACTCACGGAGCTTCTTCTTGCCCAGCTCTCTGGTGAACTCGCTAATTGTGGGCCAGATGATGTTTGCTGCAGTTGACCGTTGGCGTTTGATCTCTACGTCGCAATTATACCTAAAAATCACAACCTTGAAAAATCGGAGGATCTGTACTCGATGCTATCAAAATAGGGGTATTCCAATCTAGTCGAAGACCTCAGTAGCCTGGTCCCGAAGAGTGCAAAATCGACCCATTCTGTACATACCGAGTGGACAGAATATCCCTAGCCTCATCGATGACGTCATCCACCAGAGAGTAAGCCAAGTCCTGAATGTTTGTGAAGTACTGACACTCCGATCCATGCTGTTTCCTTGTATTCAACACCGACATGTCAATGTTGATGCTGTATTTATCCTCATCTTGAATTTCCTCCTGTTCATCTTCTTCTTCACCATTGTTCTTGCTCGCCGAAGCCTGGGAAGGTGTTGTTGAAATTTTCGAACCTTCATCTTCGTTGAACTCCTGAGGACACACATAGCGCACTGAGCCACGTTGAATTTCAATATCACCTGCACCTCTGAAGCAAGATATGAAAGATGAAGCGTCGCCGTTGGGTAACGAGCAATGATTGTAAATAAATAATAGTTCAAAAAACTAAAAAAACACGCTTTTATAGCTAACCGAACTAAAAAGTAGAAAACAATTTTTAATTACAAAAAGTTTATATTACAGTAGTAGATGGTCGAACAATCAATCATAATTAATGACCTCAAAATAAAATTATAATAAAATTTAAGTTAACAGAATAATTTAATTCAAAGTAAAAAGGGTTAGTTTTCAAGTATTATTTATTTTATTCATTTTTTAGTTCGATTTATCAATTAGTTTTTTGTGGACATGTGTTATTGAATTGTCTTACGAACAATTTCGTAATCTACCTACCAACAAAGGGTATGTCCGAAACTGCACGCATGCCGGCCAAGCTAATAAAAGCGTGTTAAAAAGGAAATGTGTTATTTTCCTTACTGTATAAGCGATTCAATTGATTGAATTAACAAACGTGGTAGAATTTGTGGTATGTCGCGGTGAGGTTACGTAGTTTATTTCGCAGCATGCTTGCACCTTGCGGAACCCTTCTAAATATCCCGTACGAGGTAATGTGTACGGGGAGAAGCGCGAGAACAGTGCAATACGTTTGGCAACGCGTCAAGCCGCAGCTGCGCCAGTCGTGTTGCTAGGCATCGTGATGCTCCTATCTCTTTCTAACATGCGTATTGCACGCTTCTGCAACCAACAATGCATGCTTGGGCGTGCCGTGTCGTTGAGTCATTCTTCAAGAGATGGATACTTTTGATGGCACTCACAGCGATCGTAGCCAGCAAACGTTGAATGAAAACTACCTAGTCTGCAAGATGACATTTTGTCGTTTTTTACGTTTTTTAGGTTTTTTACCTGCGGGTGCGTATTTGTTTAAACAGCTTTTAAACAATTTACAAAAAGAAGGTTTATTTGCCTTCGACAAGATTGTTTAAGTTTTGGATTATTCTGAACAAAAAAGATCAAATTAGTAATATGGCTCTCATTCGTCCGACCACAGACGGCCAACCATAGACAGTTGTTGCGTGCTTCTTGGCAACTCCTCCGCATGGTGTAGACTTGGTCACGGTAGACAACGAACAAAAGCTGAACAACTACGAGGGTGGTTCAATAGAAATGAAGACACAATTTTTTCCAAAAAATATTTCTTTTCTTTTTTCAACATAATCCCTTTTTAGAAAGATACACTTTTTCCAACGTTATTGCCATTCTTTTAACCCCCCAATAAATAGGATTCGTCGAACTCTTAAAATACGCCTATCTCGGAGATGACTTCCTAGTTTGATCTAAATTTTTGCCCGCGAGCCATTTCTTCATGTCAGGGAACAAGAAATAGTCGCAGGGGGCCAGATCGGGTGAATACGGGGGGTCATATTGCAATTCATGCAGTTTGGCGGCGACAACTCCGGATTAATGTGCTGGTACGTTATCATGGCGAAACAGCACCATCTTTTTCGTCAAATGTGGCCGTGTCTCCTTAAATTTTTTGCCGAAGCGGTCCAATAACTCACTATAGTATTGTCTAGTAATCGTTCTTCTTTTTTCTAAAAAATCCACGAGGATGACATAGCTCGCATCCCAAAAAATCATTGCCATGACCTTTCCGGCCGATTGTACCGTCTTCACCTTCTTTGGAGCAGATTCACCGGGAGAAATCCATTGTTTTGATTGTTGCTTAGTTTCTAGAGTGTAATGATGAATCCAGGTTTCATCGACGGTGACAACTCGATGCAAAAACGATTTAGCTTAAATTGCTCCAAACACTGCTTCGAAGTTAACAGCTGCACCCGCTTGTTGTCCACCGTGAGCAATCGCGGAAGACAATTTTTTCATAGTCACCTTATCGTGTAAAATATTGATTGCCGTTCCGGTCGACACATCTACGGCCTCTGCTACTTCTCGCACTTTTCGTTGGTCGATCAGCGAGAATCATATCGTGAACTTTTTGAATGATTTACTCGGTAACCACGTCTGCCGGGCGTCCTGGCCGATCCTCATCAAAAACGGATGTTCGCCCACGTTTATATTCGTTGACCCAATATCTAGCTGTGGTCATAGATGGCGAAATGTCCCCATAAATAGCATCCAACTTTGCTTTTATCTCCTCGCATTTTTTCCCATCCAAAAACAAAAAGCGAGTTACCGAACGATACTGTTCTTTTTCCATCTTAGCGAAAATCACGAAACACGTGTTACTCGAATGGCTGCCAAATCCAAACTAACCTATCAGTCTCGAATTGGTTGTGCCGTCGTTTGATAGATGACAGCACACGATGATAACATTAACTTCCCTCAGGAACGCCCTCTGTCGTCAAACTTATTGAACCGCCCTCGTATATTCATAGTATAATGTTTATTGAAATAATACAGCACAAGGTGAAATCTATTACCGTAAGCGACCACTGCGAAAGTGAAAACGTCAAGCTGACTATTGAAACTGTATCCCAGCTCGCATTGTCAATCTCGCAGTGGTTGGTTCTGGTAACTTATTATCAAAAAATATCATCAGAAACTGTCCTCTAAAGTGTTTGAGTTGTAAACGATTTAGGGCCAATTTCACCAACGACAGTCCATTATTCTCCACCTGTAGGGTAACAGCCCGTTAAATACAGCGAATGAGCTTCAAGTTCCAATCAACAAATTTTAGCAACCAATAGCTACGAAATGTTGAAAACAAAATGTTGTCAAAGTATGAGATGACATCTTGTCATTGAAACATCACCAGCTTATTGAATATTAAGAAATTACATATAATTCAGTCAAAATTTAAACAAATGTTTGATTTTTGAATAAAATTCACGTTTTAATTACCATTGTTGATTTTTTATTCATGATAATATTATTTTCTTCAATTGATATGCGATTTTACTGATTCAATATCATCTACTAGGTGATTTTTCCTATAAACCTGTTGCAAATAGCCATTAAGCACCTACTTGCAGACTGGCTCTACCAAAAAGTTCATAGATAATGCTCGTTTCCAAACATTCATTCATTTACTTGCCGTTCATCAGAACCATTATGGCACCTTAGATTGATATTCCCACAAAACCATTCTGGTTTTTTAAAATCCATACATCCATAAAGTTGAACATTTTTCGTTGTTCAGGAACTTAACAAACATCCACACTATATTCACAGCGATTAAGAAATACCCAAATATATGTCGTAGAGCTACCAGCAAACCTAAAACTTTTTTGCAATATTTTTCTTTTTTCACTAAGTAGATATTCTGGGGTATATTTATATTAGACGTTATTTGAATACAGCTGATTATTGCATTTCAAGGAGTGACACATGTGTGTGCTCTGTCAACTCTTGGTACCAGTCACAAAACATACTCTGAAGGTTTAATTCCATGCTATTCAATCATAACACGGTGACTTGTGTGGTTGTCAGCGGCCATTTTGTGAGGGTGCGATAGGGTTGCCAGATTGTGCATTAATATCCCGTTTCACCCTCCTAGTCCCAGTGGAGTAAGTTCCGCCAACTGTTGAAATATACGCTACTATGCTTTATAAGATTATTCGTGACATTTTTCCCAAAATCATTGCGCAACACTTGAAAAAATGCAAATGAAAATTTAAAATTATTTCCAGGACGCCGCAAAATAGCTCCGTCGGTACCTTGGGTTATACATTTTGACAGTAGGGATGTTCGATAGGATCCTATATTTAGGAGTATCAATACATTTCACGAGTACGGACTGTGTCAAAAAGAGTGACTGCCATTTGGCTGCGACATTACCCTGCCAAATCAGACATATCTTTCAGCATTTTCAAAGAAATTGTACAAAATCTTCAAATTTCTGAAGTTAGCGAGTTTCACTTCATACGTTTTTACCCAAAACATCGGTTGCTGTAGTGATATTCATCCCCACCACTGCATCCCCACGGCTAGGCGACCTGTATGTTAAATTTGTATTGATAGGGCAGCGGGTTATGCTATAAATCATATGCCACAGTGATTGTGCACTGATTGCAACTGTTAGATGACACCAAAAATATTTTCATAAATAGGAGATCTTTCCCATTCCGGATCGAACAATCTACCAAAGACGCTTATAATCATGATACCTAGTAAATTTTCTCGAAAAAATGCAAAGCCAGCAAATGTAAAAGATTCATTTCGCACCCTCCATCACGGGACGTGATCGTCGTTAGACTTGGCAACCCTCGAGTGACAGATAGATATTCCCACCAGTCAACGATCGCCAGTCAAAAACACAAACAATAAACATTACTAGTTTTGGTGATTTTTGGACTTAAAAGACATTATTTCTGAAACATTTTTCATAATTTCTTGTCTATGTCCATGGTAATTGCATTATGCATCAGGGAGATGTAGGGATTGACACGTCTTACACATATTCTTACACATATTATCTGTGTTTTAGGATGGAGAGGACATAATGTTTTTATTACTTTGAAGAAATTGGTTAACCAATAAATTATGACGTAAAGGAAGATGAGGAATTGGATGGAATTCTATTTTCTTGCAAAATACAGACAAATCCACACTATTCAACAGGTATGTAATGATAACTTTCAGTATATTGAAGTTGGTAAATTCGAGAGTGCCATGCATTAACAAACGTCCAAATCTGCTGCCAAATTTAACAGCTAGAAAATCGAGCTATTATTTGCCGCATTCCCATTCGCTGAGAGGGATAACGGATTGTTAAATGTAAACCTATAACATATATAAAAATACATGAAAGTTGTCCTGTTTTTTTTGTACAAAAGCATCATGTTGGAATCAAAAAGTGGTCTTGTTTATAATACAGTCGAATTTTCACGATTTTATTCAATATTTCAATAGAAATCACTGATATTCTGAGAGCTTTGACAGCTTCCGTCAAATTGCATTTCGATAAAGTATTTTCCCATTGGTCCATAATATTAATGTTGGTGAAATCGGCCCTAAATCTCTTAAAAGGTTGTATATGGTCCAATGTCCTGAAATGTACAAATATTAACGCCTAGTTACTAACTAACTTCGTTTTTGTAGCTAACGATTTATGAAGAATTATTTGGTTTAATATGGGGATAAGAGACTCATCATACACTAATTGTATGATTTTTTGCTAGTTGGGGAGGTATTTTAGAAGAGATTTGCTACTGTAGCGCGTTATGATTAGTCATGCTCTGATAGTAAAATCGGGCATAAAAGTATCAAACAAGAATCGAATCGAAGCAGTGGAAATGTTGATTCATAGGCGGATGCTAATGATACCTTGGTCGGCAAAGACAACCAATGAAAAACAGCTAAGAAGAGTCTTGTTGACCCTTCTCTCAAATCAATTAAAAGAACTTCGCTGACTAACAAGCCAAGTGCTGTAATTGTAATTCTGATTCTTCAAACTTTCTTGAATAAATAATAATTGATATCCTGACTAGTAACACCCTTGTCTAAGACTTACTTGAAGGTAATGTGATTCGATTGAACTCTGATACATTCTTTTGAAGATTTCGAAGAGTCAGATGCGGTGGTAGAGACAATAGCTGATGAAGGTCTTGACGCAAATGGAGAACAAGGTAAAGAAACGGTAAGATCCACTAGTGCTATAGGTTTTCCAGAACTGCTCATGATTGGTTCAATCGGAATTCCTGGAGGTTATCAAACGATATGGATACGCGAAGTATCTTGAACATCCAATATGACAAATATGAAGAACATTTGGTGACAGAATGAAACACATATAAAGCGTGTCACTCACTACGCTGACAATATTATACTGTGTGAGTCTGTGGCTAGTGTGGCTCGAGGTTTGGTAACCTTACTCAATAAAATCAAAGTTAGTATATATATATTTCATGACGAATACACGTTTTATCTAACTTTTCCGTGACTTGTCGAGAGTCCTGAAGTGGGAAATAAAGTTCACTTTCTTTGAATTCCTATACTCGAACGACTTTTTTCGTTATTCATTTCGTACCTATCCATCCGGTTGGCTGATATTTATGTAACGAAAGTTCCACTTATTAGTTTCCACGCGCGATCTGAGTAGAGTAAAACTTAAGCGAAAATGTACGGGGTAATATGTTCTTAATATGCCTATTAGATGCATAGAATTATTTTGGCTAGAGGTATATAAATGCGAGTATTCTGGTGTCGAAAAATTGCAATTTGTAAATCACTCAAAAATGATCAGGATTTTCTGATAGGTCAAAAAACGGAACTTTGATGATGAATCGCAGTTACAACAGTACATAGATGAATTAATAGAAACCGGCACGGGTATTAAGTATCTTGAAAAGTGACTTTATGTCAATTTTTTGACATTTTACTGGTTTTTTGTGACATTATGAAGGTTTTTCTACAAGATGTTAACTTAGCACTAGCTGATGGACACCTTGTAAACTCGTTTTGTAGTTGTAGGCGTTGCCTAATCGTCACGAGGCTTCCGTTATCAATGTTTGGCTCTGATGTTATGTAAAATCTGCTCTAAAGATGCCATTACTTGAGGTAACGGCAATGCTTAGGTGCTGCATAGTGAGGATTTGTTTACAAATGAAAATCTTAACGATCACATAAAAAAATTGTAATAAATTTCGTACGAAATCATGCGCTGTCGGTAGGAAAAAACTATAACTGTCAACTTCAAACTGACATTTATCACGTCAAACTCATACTAACTACACTTTTCGTTGCGGCTTCTCGCTTTATTACGTTAAACGAATAGAAAATTATAATTCGCATATATTATATGCGACTGCGGGACCAGCGAACTGCGTTGTAGCTGCCCACCTCATCAAAAAACGAAGTAAAAGAATTTGGTGTCGAAAATGCATCTTTGAGAGGGACCCTAGAATGGGTGTGCTCCAAATTCTGAATAAAGGACCTCTAGTGGAGGATCCACTGGCTTATAGGAATAATTGGATCCAAAGTCATTCTGATTTTATCCAACGCAGTTCATTTGGCGTTTCTGTTTTTATATGCCTTGCTTATTACAACATATAAACAATCATATTTCTCATACTTGTTCAGTAATATGTCACAATGCTCTTTTGACCCTAACATATTTCAAGTTTCTGAATCTACAAGTAGACCAGCATACAGCATATGTAAGAGAGTTTCGCGAAACTCGTGAACACAACTGATCACAACAACTGATGAAAGGGCTTGAGTTTAGGCTTGTTTTTGTCAACCAATTATCATGTCATCTAATCATCACAAAATATCAAAAGGATATCAAGCACAAAATATGTAATTTCACGTCGTGCAACGCTTCTATCAGCCATTACTGAAATGCTCCAAATGCGCGGTAGGCGTCTGCTCACTTTTAGCGTGATATTATTTAGAACAGGTTCTAAAAAGTTTAGCACCCAATTTGTTCATACAAGATTACGTACTAAATGCTGTCTCATACTATCCTTAATTTTGTATGAAATTTAGCGTTGTAAATTTAGCTCAAAGTTTCGTATCGTAACAGACGGCCTTTAGGTGATATTGATAAAAATTATCGTATGTTGGAACTCTGGTTATAAAGCAAAATTCGGATAAAGTTAGAGGGAATAAATAATTTATTATGATAAAACTGGTTATATTTGCTTCTTTATTTCTGAAAAGCAATCCAATTAGCGATGTAAACATGCAAAGTTTGCGACTGAAACACGGGAGATTGAACGTGTTTGTATGATGAAGGCAAAATTTAATATCTTAGTTGGTATAAATGCAACGGCGGAGCTGTTTCAGAAAGGAGCAAACATATCACACAAGAATTAAACAAAAATACAAAAATAAATTTGATTTTGCGTAATGTAGTATCATCATCATATGTTATCTGAAAGACTATTGAAAATTCAATAATAGAACTAGGACATATCGATCCATCTAGTGATTTTATTCGATGGTTTTGACTACGGGCTCGAACCCAATTCCTTTAATTCGTTCACGGTTCCTTCTAATACCAATTCCGATTTCAGTAATCCCAAAAAACATCGCAGTTAATGAGCGATACAAGGATACGATACCGCAATAGAAAGTTATTAGAATTTTCATTTTGTTGTTAACGTCTTCCGAACTGAAATGTAAACAAAACGTCGCCAGTACCTCTATAAATATTTTACGATTTGATGAAACATGCTGCACCATTCATGGAGTATCCGCGCGTTTAGTTGCTTATATTGGTAAACGATTTGTTCTTATTGACTTGGTCAGCACACATCATGGATGTTGCTACATTTGATATGCTAAGGATAATGGTGACCATGCCACTAATTTCCTAGAAGACCTAGAGTTTCCTCTATTGTTCTCAACACGCTTTACAGTCAGTCATATTTAAGTAATTTTGAAAAAGTGCAGATTTGAGTTATGTATTCTCAAAAAATATTTTTTTTAAAAACCGATATCGAGGCGTCGATCTTATAACTTATAAATGCTCGATCATTTCTTGAAATGGTCAATTTTACAATATGGTCACGGCAAATAATCTTCAAGTCAGCTAAGGATCAAATAAATTTGGATCGATTGGCGAAAATAGTTGCGATAGACTTCTGAATTATTCATATTAAATACACGTTAGAATTTGACTACTCCATCTTGTATAGGAAAATGACAACATATAGTTTATTTTGAAATCCCATTTCTAATAAGGTCAAAAAAAAAGTGATTTTGTTAGGCAATGTTGATGTGCAGTTTATTTTGAAAACAAAGTCATGGAAAAATCAAAACGGTTTTCTGAAAATTCGGTTTTTCCATCTCTCACTGGGAGTACTTCGCATTTCGAAACCTTCAAAGCGGTATTTTATTCATTACCTAAATATCAAACTTTGCCCACGTTTAAGCGCCATCGTATCTCTTACAGTCTCCGAGATCTCAATGATGCGGGTCGAATTTGAAACACTCTGTATAGGTTTTTTACCTAGTAACGCTACGTGTATCTCTGCATGACATCCCGCTTCGATAAAACAAACACAGTGATGGGCGTTTTCGCGCATAAATTGACTACGTTTTGATATAGAGTATGCGTATACAATGTAAACAATATCTATGCAATGATGAAAATGTACATATAGTCTTTTCCACTAGTATCCATTGCGGTAGAATAACAGCTGATTATCTAGTAATATTTAAAAATTCTCCGTATCGAGAAAGGACGCATAATTCTTACGGATCCATCAATGCCAGGTAGACAGGACATTTTGTTTTTTTGTACGCTACAGATTCATTTTGTACTCGCTAAAAGCTCTTTTATATAGAGAAGTATATTTCTATACATAAAATAAAACACTACAAACAAGTTTTACTAGATTTACACCGATTCAGTATTGCCAACGTTGGGCTTACCCAAAAACGTCAAAACAAAACCTGCAATTATAAAAACAGAGAGCATGCCAAACATAAGGAAGTTCATTAACTAAAGTTAATATTTTTCCAAAGGTGGAAGAAAATATCCCGTCGAGTCCTGTATCTGTGGAAAAATCTATCTAATTCAGCTACATATTGCTTAATATCGTACAGGTATGTTACCTTTTCTCGAATCGTAATATGCGGCACTTAACGCGATATTTTATTAATTCCTACTTGCCTAGTATAATCAAAAATCAAGTCAGAAGGTATAATAGAAAACAGTCGTAAAACATAATGTAAAGCGACTTTAAAGTAAAATAAACTCTGAGACGCTGCAATGCCAGACGCAAATTACGACGAAACGCAGTGTAAATAAAGATGGAGTTTGTCATTTTTGACTCTTAGGTATTATTTCTTTATTTGATAATGTACTCGTAAAATGCAAACTATCAAAAAAAATTGACTTACCACTAACTGTCTCAGCGCTTCACCTGGTGTGTGAAAGTTTATTGAACGTATTAATAAAATCCACTTATAAATAGGGAACATAATTTTGATACATACATTGTTTTCCTTTTTAAATCCCACACTGCACTTTTTTTGTATTTAAAGAAGGTGTTCAAAATGTCATCCTCCACTTTCCACACAAGCTTCATTACGACGAACCCAGTTTCTTCTTACTCTAGGTCCATTTATTATTTCAGCCCCATTAAAATTTTTTTCGCGAACTTATGCTCCAGTTGTTATTGGACCAGCCCCATAAAACATCCCTTTAAGTTCTCCCCGACACCAGAAATCCATCGGATTGAGGTAAGGAGATCTTCCTGGGCATTTTCGAGGATCAGGAGAATTTCGGCCGATCCAGCGATTTGGATTATGTTCATTCAAATACTGAATGACGCCTCTAAAAATGTGTGGTGGTGCCCCGTCATGAAGAAACCACAAATTCTGTCTCCATTGTAATGTTATGTTGTCTAAGGTCTGTTCCAAAAATTATGGTAGGTTATTGGCTAGAAAGCTGAGGTATCGTTCTCCTGACAACTTTGGAGGTAACTCGAAAGGACCAATTACCTGATCGTCAAGAATACCCGCCCAAATATTTATTTTAAAACGTTGTTGGAAATGACCGTCACGAATGGTATGAGGATTTTCTTGGGCCCACGTGTGAGTATTTTGGAAACTTAATATACCGTCTCGCGTAAAAGTACATTCGTCCGTCGCTAGAATGTTTTTAAAAAAATCCTGATTTTCAAAGTTTTTGTGCAAAAGCCACTGACAGAATGTTAGTCTGCGAGAATAGTCTTCTGATAACAAGGCCTGAACTCGTTGTACACGGTAGGATAAAGAAAATTTTCCCGTAGGATTCTATGGACTATGGTATGCGGCGGCCTAATTCCCGAGTGCTGAAATCTGCACTGATTTCCACGATATTCAAAATTTGTTCCTCCAGCTCTACAGTAACCCGTCTTTCACTAGTGCGAATATTAGTGGGCTGACCACTTCCTGTATCTCGAAGTCTTTGGTACACTTGCACAAATGTTCTTCGGTCTGGGTGTACCCGTTGGCGAAATCTATCGCGATAAATTTTAGCTGCAAGATTTGAATTCTGACGAGCTTCACCGTAAACTAACAACATGTCGGCGAACTCTTGATTCGAGAACATTGTAAGTAAACACGACGACTTACGCGAACAAAAACAAAACAACACGCCCGATGATCTGCTCGACAAAGCGATAAAATAACGTATCGCGATCGATTGCCGGTTCGATAAGAGTGATGAAAGACCGACGCGCTGTTGTCATGTGTGTTTTAAATATTTAATTTAATGAAACTTAGTTACTGACTACAAATTTTGGCTTAACCCAGAGAACTTAATGCCATGTATTTGTTAATTACCCAATTTAAAGACGTTTTAGATTAGATTTTAAAAATTAGTAAGATTGCGATGATTATGGTCGATATAAAGCACTTAAAGTTATAAACTATAAAGCCATGTAGATAAAAATCTATTGACTTTTGGACTATGGCTCATACGAACTTTTTGACTTGTTTTGACCCCCCTATTACCCATTTCAATAATGACTACCATAACGTTTACACCCTGTATAATGATAATAGATATCTATATTTATATCTTTTCTAATTATTCAGAAATCACTTCTACAGGCTATTATTTGCCATTGTAGACATAAATCTGAAGACGTATACAATTACAATTGTCTACGCATACAAAATGTTGTATTTTGCTTGATGCATACAATGTCATCATTGAACAAACAGCACATTTCTCCAGTTACATATTTCGGCATGCAGATTTCTGTAATGATTGCGTATTCAAAATGTTGCCCACACGCCTTGCTGCTTCTGAATCTGATAACGCTCTTTTCTCTCGAAAACTTTACGTGTTTTACATAAGGGACTTAGCCGACAGCCTGTGTTTTCGCCTGCATCTCATAAATTTTGTTTTCGTATGTATCAGATGCTCCAATACATGGTGAAATGAAAGTACCTTTCTCGCATCTACATCGGTATATATTCCAGACTTTCCAGGAGAGCGAATATAAAAAATTGCAGTTATGTAGACTTCAACAAGTTTCTCTTGACAATATACAAGGGGAATACTGTGCTTAGAAGATAAATCGACATGTTTTCAATAAAACTTAATATCGCCTGTAGAGTATCTCTAAAATTGTACTGATTGATTGGATCGAGCTCGGATGGTTCTAAACGAGTCACTCTGAAGAATTATTGTCGCAGATGTTGAAAGGAATCGATTCACGTTACCGAAGATTTTGATTCCAGTGGTTCCGATGCACTAACGCAGCAATTTTGTCCACTCCAAACCAGTAACGATCTACAAGTTTATAACTGTGGTGTAGATTTTGAAGTATGAATGGCTCCTTTCCATTTTAATATTAGATTTGTCGTATATGGTGAACGGTGAGAGTAAAAATAATATTAGGCTGAGTGTTACCCCCAAAACCGAACAACAGATAATAAAATGTTCGCTACAAACACAAAGTAATATCAAGTTGCCTTTGGAAAGAAAAGTTTGTTTGCTTACTTTACTGTCAATTGACATTTCGCTTTAAGATGTACACATTATAAATAGGAAAGAGTATCTACAAGTTAGTTGGGCGGGTACCCAAATTTGCAGGTAAAATCCTTGTCTGGTGCGCAATTTCTAACAAGGGTGTATTCCAACCGTTTGTGGGAAGAGTGAGGGGTGAAGCTTTGAATAGTGAGATCTATATTCTTATTAGTCAAGGCTCAGTACTGTGTCTTGGAAGCATCAAACTTTACCAGACTGTTGTGTCAAAGAGAAAGAAAGTCTGACTTCTTTTCTCCAGCTCACCGGCACAGATCGACTAGGCACTCTGAATTCCTGCATATAGAGTGCTGTCGTCAGCAAAGCTGTGGATCGGATTCCACGAATCGTGCAGGAAGGGAAGTCATTGATATGTAAGAACAATTTCGGAACCAAGACCGATCCCTGAGGAACACCCCCCATTGGCACTGTAGGATGAAGAGGTGAACCCGTCAATTACGAAAAATACGAGGGCTGCTTGATGAGTCAGTGACTTTTTAAATAAAAAATGTTTTTCGGCAAATAAGCATTTTGTTTCTCAACGTAATCTCCTTTTAGATACATTTAGTCCAGCGTTTTTCCAAGTTCTTAATTCCTTCCGAATAGTAGTTTTTATCAAGGCTCAAAAAATATGCGTTTGTTTCAATGATGACATCTTCATTCGACCCAAATCTCTTACCACCCAGCCATTTTTTCAGGTTTGGAAATAGGAAGTAGTCCCTGGGGGCTAAATCTGGAGAATAGGCTGGATAGGGCAGCAGTTTGTAGCCCAGTTGCGGTCGTTTTTGCTTCAAAGCAACATTGAATCTGTCTAACAGCTCTGAATAGTACTTTCCCGTGATTGTTCTGCCCTTCTCAAGGTAATCGATGTAAATGATACCGCATACGTCCCAGAAAACTGTGGCCATAACCTTTCTGGCTGACAGACTCACCTTGGCCTTCTTTGGAGCGCGCTCACCATGTGAAACCACTGTCTTGATTGTTCTTTGGTTTCTGGTGTATTGTGATGAATCCATGTTTCGTCTACAGTTACAAAACGGCGCAAAAATTCGTTCGGATTGCGGCTGAACATCGCCAAACATTCCCTTGAAATGGTCACACGGTTGCGCTTATGGTCGACTGTGAGCAATCGCGGCACCCATCTAGCGGATAGTTTTTTCATGTAAAATGTGCTGTACCCGCTCAGTAGAGATGCCTACAGCCTCAGCTACTTCACGTATTTTTATTCTCCGATCTTCCAATATCATCCCATGGACCTTATCCACGATTTCTGGTGTGGTGACCTCTTTTGGGCGACCTGAACGTTCGGCATCACTCTTGCTGGTTCGACCACAACGGAACTCAGTAAACCACTTCTTCACCATTGAAATAGATGGTGCAGAGTCTCCATAGTATTTTTCAAGCCTTTCCTTGGTTGCAGTGATGGTTTTTTTTTACGCAAAAAATAATGTTTAATTAGAACACGAAATTCACTTCTTTCCATTTTTCTTAGAATTTATGAGACTGTCTACTTTCAACGGCTGTCAAACTCAGATGAAATGACATAACTTGTTCAAATTTTGACAGTTGTCATATAAAAGATGGCAGTTGGCGGCAGCAGTGTTGCATTCAAAGTTACTGCGCGGGAAATTCAAAAAGTCACCGACTTATCAAACGGCCCTCGTATATTGCGGCCAGAGACGAGGTCAGCCTGCAGAGCTTCTCTGGGAGATCAAAGGATAAGGCTTGCGTAAGACGACAGCATTCCACAGCTGATCGAACACTTTCGTGATATCAAGAGCAACGACATGAACCGCGTGCCCTATTCGTAGTCCATTTACGTACCGGCACAACAAAGATGCAGCACGGCGAAGCGGCAGCCACCTAAGCATTGAAATAGCTATTGGTCATTCGGCGATAAAACTACTACTACTACTAATGGTACGCGTACACTATAGATTTTTCCCCGAGATTTGCGCTAGCTAGAGTCGCTTTAGACTAAGTCTATAGTGTACATATTACTGAGACTGCTCTAGCGAGTGTGGCGTAATACTCTCGGTAGCGCGACGTTAGTCTAGGTAGGGTTGTAGTGGACACAGTACTGAGACTAGTTCTCTAGATCACTCTCGCATTGTTTCGCTCTATTCGATGAGTTAAATAGATTAGTTGAAAGCATGGCTTCCCCACCAAGTGTAATGGTACGTGTACACTGTAGAGAAAATCTACCTAGATTTTAGATTTAGATACGTTCTCTAGGTGAGACTTGTCTATGTTCTGTGTACACTATAACATATTTTGGCCCTCGCTAGACCTTCTTAGATATTTCCTAGATTAAATCTATACCAATTTCTCTATGTGGTGTGTACATAACATGGTAGATTTGATCTCGTAAAAACGTATAGGCATTATTGCACCGTAGTTTGTTGGAAGTAGTTTGAAATGTCGCGAATTAAGAAAATTGCAGCTGCCTCTGTTAGTTTAATAACGAAGAAGAGAAAAAATGTTGAGCTAAAAAACAAGAAGAGAAGGATGTGGGTTAGGAGCTGGATTTCAAGAAGACAGGATAGTGGTTTTTTTGCTCAATTGGTGAAAGAATTACACAGCGAAGACATGAACTCATACGCTAACTTTTTACGCATGAGTAATAAGGACTATGAATACTTGCTTCAAAAAGTTGAAACATTGATTAGAAAACAAGATACTCATCTTAGGCTAGCTATTTCACCTTCAGAACGGCTCATGCTTACTTTACGGTTTTTAGCAACAGGTGAGTATTGAAAGACATAAGTTTGTTTTCTAGAATGTATTTAACTTAAAAAGCAAAAAAAAACAACTTCTAATTAAATCATTCTTAATTGTAGGAGATAGCTATCATTCTCTGGAATACCTTTTTCGGATTCCAGTCACGACCATTTCAAGGATTATAACTGAAGTTTGTGAAGCGATATTTACTGTGCTGAAAACGGATTATCTCCAGGTAAGTAATTTTCGTAAAACTGCGTGATTGGAGGAAGGTTTGTAGTTGTATTTGTTATCGGTGCCTCTACAAAACTTTCAACCGTATTTGAAGTTGATGGGTATGTACTCGAATGTGAATAAGTAGGGCGACATTAAAGGTGTAAGTGCTCTTGATCCAGAAAACTCCACTTCATCTTTCTCGCTCATTGCAACTATAGCTTTCTGGATTATTCGTTTTAATCTTCTTTTTCGTTCATCAGAACGCAGCTGCCGTAATTCACTAGCTACATATTCACCAAATACGTATACTTGTCAGTTGGTGTATTTAGTATGTTTTTAGCCTTTTCTAGCATTGCATCACCTTGCTCGTCCGTTTTTTCCCTGGCTTTGGTTTTTAGTTTTTTCGAACGATGAGTTGTAGTATTTGATGTTGTTGGTTTTTCTAAGCTTTGTAATTGAGACTCCTCCAGAAAATCTTCCTCTTGCGACGAAACCTGAAATAAAACAAAAGTAGCGAATAAGCTTATTTTTAGTTTTGTAATATTACTTTTTCTTTTAGATCCCAAACTCTCAGGAAGAATGGTATGAAGTTGCAAAGGGATTTGAGGAGATTTGGAATTTTCCAAACTGTTTAGGTACTCTAGATGGCAAGCACGTGGTTATGAAAGCACCAAGGAATAAAGGCAGGCTTTATTTTAATTATAAAGGAACACATAGCATAGTCCTCATGGCACTAGTTGATGCAAAATACAAATTTCTTTATGTGCATGTCGGATGCAATGGACGCATATCTGATGGTGGCGTGTATGCAAACTGTTCATTGTCAAGAGCATTAGAAAACAACATGTCAAACATGCCAAAACCAAGGCCATTACCGGGTGAATCTGAAGATGCACCTTTTGTTGTTATTGCTGATGATGCTTTTGCCTTGACTTCCTATTTATTAAAACCTTTTCCTTTCAAAAACCAACCCGGATTTAATCGGGTTTTTAACTACAGAATATCAAGAGCAAGGCGTGTAGTTGAAAATGCTTTCGGACTGATCTCGGCTCGATTTCGTGTTCTTAGACGACCAATAGACCTACCTCCAGAAAAGGTTAAAAAAATTGTACTTGCAATATGTTCTTTGCATAATTTTTTACTGACCCAAAAAAGTTCGGCACATTTATATGCCCCAAATGGAATATTTGATACTGAAAATGATGGGCACGTTATCAATGGGAGTTGGAGGAATGGAGGAAATCCTATAGCTAATATGGTTCCTTTACAGACTACAAATGTTAGAAACCCATCGAAAACAGCCAAAGAAGTACGAGAACAATTTAAAAATTATTTTGTATCCAAACATGGTGAAGTCGCCTGGCAGTATAAATATATATAAACATAATACCATTTTATCTGCTTAATGTAATATATGTTTCTAATGCTGAAAAAATGTTTACTCACCGTATCACTAAAGTTTGCAGTGCTTTTGGTGCTCCCAGAGCAACTCATCATGAACTGTAACGCATCATAAAATTCCCACTTACTTTTCCACAGTCTATCATCAGTTCCATCTCCACTTTTGGTTTTTTAATTTTCCTTATCTCCGAATTCATTTGACACCTTAAATTATGCCATTTTCTTCCAACTTCGGCTTGAGTGGTTTTTAACTGATCTGCTATATTTTTTATAGCTTGAGCCTTTTTATCCCGATCTCTGTACTCCTTCAATATGCAATTCCAAAGTTCTGGATGTGCCTCGTACATCTCAATTAGCTTGAGAGTACTTTCTTTGTCCCATTTCATAGCTTTTTGCTCATTTATGGTACGCGTACACTATAGATTTTTCCCCGAGATTTGCGCTAGCTAGAGTCGCTTTAGACTAAGTCTATAGTGTACATATTACTGAGACTGCTCTAGCGAGTGTGGCGTAATACTCTCGGTAGCGCGACGTTAGTCTAGGTAGGGTTGTAGTGGACACAGTACTGAGACTAGTTCTCTAGATCACTCTCGCATTGTTTCGCTCTATTCGATGAGTTAAATAGATTAGTTGAAAGCATGGCTTCCCCACCAAGTGTAAATGAGCAAAAAGCTATGAAATGGGACAAAGAAAGTACTCTCAAGCTAATTGAGATGTACGAGGCACATCCAGAACTTTGGAATTGCATATTGAAGGAGTACAGAGATCGGGATAAAAAGGCTCAAGCTATAAAAAATATAGCAGATCAGTTAAAAACCACTCAAGCCGAAGTTGGAAGAAAATGGCATAATTTAAGGTGTCAAATGAATTCGGAGATAAGGAAAATTAAAAAACCAAAAGTGGAGATGGAACTGATGATAGACTGTGGAAAAGTAAGTGGGAATTTTATGATGCGTTACAGTTCATGATGAGTTGCTCTGGGAGCACCAAAAGCACTGCAAACTTTAGTGATACGGTGAGTAAACATTTTTTCAGCATTAGAAACATATATTACATTAAGCAGATAAAATGGTATTATGTTTATATATATTTATACTGCCAGGCGACTTCACCATGTTTGGATACAAAATAATTTTTAAATTGTTCTCGTACTTCTTTGGCTGTTTTCGATGGGTTTCTAACATTTGTAGTCTGTAAAGGAACCATATTAGCTATAGGATTTCCTCCATTCCTCCAACTCCCATTGATAACGTGCCCATCATTTTCAGTATCAAATATTCCATTTGGGGCATATAAATGTGCCGAACTTTTTTGGGTCAGTAAAAAATTATGCAAAGAACATATTGCAAGTACAATTTTTTTAACCTTTTCTGGAGGTAGGTCTATTGGTCGTCTAAGAACACGAAATCGAGCCGAGATCAGTCCGAAAGCATTTTCAACTACACGCCTTGCTCTTGATATTCTGTAGTTAAAAACCCGATTAAATCCGGGTTGGTTTTTGAAAGGAAAAGGTTTTAATAAATAGGAAGTCAAGGCAAAAGCATCATCAGCAATAACAACAAAAGGTGCATCTTCAGATTCACCCGGTAATGGCCTTGGTTTTGGCATGTTTGACATGTTGTTTTCTAATGCTCTTGACAATGAACAGTTTGCATACACGCCACCATCAGATATGCGTCCATTGCATCCGACATGCACATAAAGAAATTTGTATTTTGCATCAACTAGTGCCATGAGGACTATGCTATGTGTTCCTTTATAATTAAAATAAAGCCTGCCTTTATTCCTTGGTGCTTTCATAACCACGTGCTTGCCATCTAGAGTACCTAAACAGTTTGGAAAATTCCAAATCTCCTCAAATCCCTTTGCAACTTCATACCATTCTTCCTGAGAGTTTGGGATCTAAAAGAAAAAGTAATATTACAAAACTAAAAATAAGCTTATTCGCTACTTTTGTTTTATTTCAGGTTTCGTCGCAAGAGGAAGATTTTCTGGAGGAGTCTCAATTACAAAGCTTAGAAAAACCAACAACATCAAATACTACAACTCATCGTTCGAAAAAACTAAAAACCAAAGCCAGGGAAAAAACGGACGAGCAAGGTGATGCAATGCTAGAAAAGGCTAAAAACATACTAAATACACCAACTGACAAGTATACGTATTTGGTGAATATGTAGCTAGTGAATTACGGCAGCTGCGTTCTGATGAACGAAAAAGAAGATTAAAACGAATAATCCAGAAAGCTATAGTTGCAATGAGCGAGAAAGATGAAGTGGAGTTTTCTGGATCAAGAGCACTTACACCTTTAATGTCGCCCTACTTATTCACATTCGAGTACATACCCATCAACTTCAAATACGGTTGAAAGTTTTGTAGAGGCACCGATAACAAATACAACTACAAACCTTCCTCCAATCACGCAGTTTTACGAAAATTACTTACCTGGAGATAATCCGTTTTCAGCACAGTAAATATCGCTTCACAAACTTCAGTTATAATCCTTGAAATGGTCGTGACTGGAATCCGAAAAAGGTATTCCAGAGAATGATAGCTATCTCCTACAATTAAGAATGATTTAATTAGAAGTTGTTTTTTTTTGCTTTTTAAGTTAAATACATTCTAGAAAACAAACTTATGTCTTTCAATACTCACCTGTTGCTAAAAACCGTAAAGTAAGCATGAGCCGTTCTGAAGGTGAAATAGCTAGCCTAAGATGAGTATCTTGTTTTCTAATCAATGTTTCAACTTTTTGAAGCAAGTATTCATAGTCCTTATTACTCATGCGTAAAAAGTTAGCGTATGAGTTCATGTCTTCGCTGTGTAATTCTTTCACCAATTGAGCAAAAAAACCACTATCCTGTCTTCTTGAAATCCAGCTCCTAACCCACATCCTTCTCTTCTTGTTTTTTAGCTCAACATTTTTTCTCTTCTTCGTTATTAAACTAACAGAGGCAGCTGCAATTTTCTTAATTCGCGACATTTCAAACTACTTCCAACAAACTACGGTGCAATAATGCCTATACGTTTTTACGAGATCAAATCTACCATGTTATGTACACACCACATAGAGAAATTGGTATAGATTTAATCTAGGAAATATCTAAGAAGGTCTAGCGAGGGCCAAAATATGTTATAGTGTACACAGAACATAGACAAGTCTCACCTAGAGAACGTATCTAAATCTAAAATCTAGGTAGATTTTCTCTACAGTGTACACGTACCATAATAAGTGCAGGATTGGCAGGATAGAACTCAGGCTCGGGGTTCATATTCGGTGCATGCTTCCTCTTCGGTGATGTCTCCTCCCCAAAAACGTGACAAGAAGGTACATTTGAATATTTAGGCAAGAAAATTGTCCTTAACATTTAAAAGATCACCACAAGAGGCATTACACGAAGCTATTAGATACAGATGATACTTTGATCGGAATGCTATCAGACGCAAAGTCCATCAACTTTTTGAAAGGCAGGAACTTCCCACCATAGACAAAATATTACAGGAGGTTAATAGTAACGAAGACTTACCTACTTTCAAAAGGACCACATTCTATAGTTTACTCAAAGAACTTTATTTTGAGTATACAAAACGGAACAGAAATAGTATTTTGATGGACAGCCAAGAGATTATTTTATGGAGAAGAAATTACTTAAAATCAATAAAGAAATACCGCCACCAGGGTAGGAAGATTTATTATTTGGACGAAACCTGGATAAAAGCAGGACATACAAAACCTAAAGTATGGGCTGACTCTTTGATTAAATCAGCAAGACAAGCCTTCTTAGATAGACTGACCGCTGGCCTGAAGAGTCCGTTAGGTACGTGTATCTAAACAATTCGGCATTTGTGTGGTAAAAATGGTGTCAAGTAGACTGAATCTATGAGCCCACGCTGAAAACTTAGCTACACTAAACCTATATCTGGTAGATTTGGAGCCAACACCTGTTAGATACTCTGCTTGTATTATTATTAGTTTTCTTCTTTACTATATGAAATAATTATTTCCAGGAAAGGGAAATCGATTTCTTATTTTTCACATTGGCAGTGAAAATGGCCTTGTTCCCACTGCCATGTGGGCATTTGAGTCAAAGAAAACGACCGACTACCATGAAGAAGTGGACGGGATGATCTTAATGTTATTGACGATATGACTAAAAACCTAAATAAGACCTTTTTAAGGCTACCCCCTTGTCACTGCGAATTAAATCCCATTGAAATGATTTGTGCAAGTATAAAAACTATGTGGCTTCAAACAATAGATCATTCAAATTTTCTGACGTGAAAAAGTTGGCTTATGAGGGTATGGAAGCGATTTACGCACCTCTCCATCACCTTACTTATAAGAGAAAGCAGATATATTTAGATATAACAAAAGATTCAACTTGAGGTGACTCATTTAGAAGACCGTCTACAGCTAAAAGATAAAAAGACCGTTGAAACGTTTGGAAAATAGTTTTCTTTTTGGATTTCTTCGTTACCAAAAGTGCTCACACAAAGCACGTAAGCATGTTTCGTTACATTGTATACCCTGAAAAGATTGACTGAAAGGCAGAAAGGGTATTTTTCTTGAGATCGCAATAAAAAAAGAAAAGTCCACCGTGCAAAAACGAAGGGTCGAGTTGAATTTTATTAGGGTACAGTAAGATTGGTCTCAGATAAGTGTCGACTTGGAAAAGATGTGGGTACGATACTGAAGGTTACGCACTCTACATGCGGTCAAAGATAAATATAATGAAAAAACTAGTCATGTAGATCGACTCAGGATGAAAAAGCTTAGTCGATTTTGGCAATCGATCCAGTGGCGGCAGGAAAAAGGGTCAAAAACGGCAAAAATAAAAACCGTTCAAACTTTGTTTTTTTTTTAATTTTAGAGAATGCTAATAAATTTCAGAAAAATTTTTACAGTGTCTAAAATTTGATGTTGAAGGGTTGTAGGGGTTGGGTGAGAGTATGTCAATGTATTGGTGCAATTTATACGTTTCCAGCCCCGGTAATTCTACGCACCTAGTAGAATTTTTTTTAGTAGCACGT